GGATATCTGAATGCACCATGCAAAGCTGCTGGATGGTGGCCGCGGCGGGGTACAACGACTGCCACCTGACCGCCCAGTTGACAAACACCTGTTCGCGCAGAAAGATATATATTAATTATAATTAAGAGATTACTTTCTGCTAATTAGAAGAAAGTAGGCCGACAAACCTTTTTCAATTTACGTTTAATAGCTGCGATATATTAATGTATTACTGTCTAATGCTCATGCTGCATGATTTTATCCCTTTTTGCTCGTTCGTGTAGCTGGGACACGGTTTCCATTGTTCATTGCTTTGAAAGGGCGCTGCGTGACTATAAAAGCAATCTTATTGAGCTCTTTTGTTGTTATTCCAACTGCTTGGGCCACATCACAAAAACGCATTCTTGGAGACAGTTTCGGAAGGCATATTAAGCTTTCAAGTATCCACAGACCTTATTGAGGGCGCCAAAACCAACGATATAACAATCAGAGCGTTTGCTGCTCTGGTCCAATGTGCTTGCTTACCTGCAAGATTTGATGTGCATGCATCGCCAGCGTGATCCTAAAATTGCACACCTGCCTGGAGGCAAGGCGGCGCTCACTTTCTATTCCTACGCGATTTGCGTTTGATCTTGTTGCCTGCAACAGGACAGTCAGAATCTCCAATGCTTTCTTCCCGCTGGACGAAAGAAACACAGGGGCAGCACTGGGGGGAAGAGACAATTTGTCCTTCTCCATTGTTGATCGAAGACCTCCCATGCACCTACGGCACCAGAAATTTATACACTGAAGAGATGCCTCGACGCTTAGAGCTGGGCACCCAACTGGATTGACAACGGCCTCATGCGTCATCGTGCCGATGCAATCTGGCGCTTCTCGGTCCTGACCGTGGCACTGGATTTCAGCCATGTTCCTTGAAACTGCATTCGGCACAGGGATTGCCCACAATCTGAAAGCTGCAGCGTCCTTGCATTCTGATTGCTGTGGCTCTTCTTGTTTGATGCAGTGTGCGGGGCCGAAGGCGCTTTGCCCCTGACTTGGAAACTCCGGTATTTTGAGCTGCCGCTTAACGTTTCCAAACGGAGAGGGCAATTCTGGGAAGCTCCCTGCATCCCTCTGAGGATGCGGCATGAGCGACGGTAGTTCTCCTTTTCTCTTCATGCCATTTCCCACAGGCCTCAGGGCCGGTAGCTTGGCGTCGTGACCAAAGCCGCTGAAGGATATTGGGCGCAGCGGACCGCCCTCGACATGCTGCACAGTGAAGCTTCCAGGTAGAGACAGCACTCCAGGAGGCTCGCGGCCCTGGGCCACGTTAGCAGCTCGCGCCTGTGCCGCACGCTGTAGAGGAGTGCCCGTTGGATCCGCGCTAGTGCCGCCCGACGCGTTCTCGCTTTTCGGTACTGCGTCCGCCTCTCTCTCGACAATCATCCAGTCAAGCCTGGTCTCGAGCCCTGCAGTCAGAAGCTTTTGGCGGAGACTGTGCAGGAATGAGCAGTAGGCAAAATGGGCCAAAGCTTCACCGGCTGGTTTTCCAAGGAGCCTCCAAGTCTCTGCATCCGAAGCTCTCTGCAGATCGATGCTTTTCCATTGGTACAAGAGCATCGTTGCCGGACTCCCCAGGTACTTCGAGCTCCTGTATCCCGGAATGCGCTTCCTGGAACAACCCTCGACGAGTCTGCCGACTGCCAGGGGTCCCCTCCAGGTGGATATGTCGTCGCGAATGTTGTCTGTGGCGACCTTCGACGCCAAGCAGAAAGACATCTCCGAAAGCTCACGGAGGCAGGTGTTTGCCAGGGCGGCCGCTGATGGGTTCGACCCTTCCTGAGCGCAGGGTGATGCTTCAAAGGCGATTCTGTTAGCTGACGAGCACTCCAGCGTCACGTATGATGCTCTGGCTGCGCAGAAATTGGCTATCAGCTTCCAGGGGTCCAGCCACTTCTCTTCCCCTCCTCGTATCTGCTTCGCTATGGCCAGTGGTCCACTTGTGTTGCATGAATCAGCCGACGCGGTAACGGTTTTACGACTCGCCAGAGCTTGGAAACTTTGGACTACTCTCCGGAATCTGCGCCACAATACTCGCGGGCTCAATCACAAAAAGCGCATCCGGGTTTCAGTTCAAGCTTTGAAGATAGGAATGGATTGACTTTCAATCCGAGATGGCGGCTCACACGGTTGACATGAATTGTGCAGTCTATTTTCTCAGACAGGCCACGGTTGCTGGCATCCGCACCCCTGTTAGGCACTCACCTTGTCCCCACAGAATCGCGCTTGGCAATGACCTGCGCATGGAATAAAAGCATCTCACGCACAGAATTGACGACGATGCGTGTGCCAACAATTAAATCCAAACCTGTGGTTTCTGTGATAGAGGATAATCGCGGTACTAATCGTATCATTGAAAGTTCCGGCCAGGTTCAAGACCTGTGTCGGATTAGTTTGAGTTGCTCTCAATGGATGCACAGCCTGCTGTGGGGCACTGCCGCTAAGTTGGTTTTAGCAGAACGGTTTTACGATTGAAGGGAGGATCATACCATCTGTTCGCTATTTTTAAGCCATATACTATGAAACAGGTGCCACACCAATCGGAAATCTCGGTTCAACGTGTAGGACAGTCGTACAGATAACGTCTGTACAACCGTTGCGTAACAGTCAAGCCGGGTATTTTTCAACTGTGAAAAATGACACGTTTAGAACTGAGAATGCAGAGCTCAAAAGAAGAGAAAAAATTGAGAAGTCCCGCACCGTGTGACATTGCTGCAGCGCACAATGTCAGCGTACATTGCAGAAGTCACTGCCCAGTCCTGGGGACTGTGGGACGCCCGTTACGATCGAATGTTTATTGGGGGTCGACAAGCAAATGTTGGAACTTAAATTTGCCCACCCCTGGGAGAAAACAAGTATGCGATGATGATGAGATATGATTCGAAGAATGATTAAGGTGATGAATGCGTTGACGGAATTTTGCATTCTGCATGGAAGATTTTGATTCAAAATTAGGAGCTTTATATCTCGGGAAATACGCTGTCAAAGTGCAAAAAATTGCGGGAGGATGTGGTAACATGCATACAGTTGTATTCTGCACATTGTCGAATTTCGACATTCAATGCCCACCGCCACACATCACGTTATGGCGCCTACAGTCAGATTGTCTCACGTTGTAAGGTGAGTTAAGAGTCATAAGTTTATATGAAGGCTATAAACCAACATTGACCAGTATGCAGAAGAGATCCAACTGCATGAAATATGAACGTCAGGTGATTCAGTGCGCGGGAGCAGGGGCAAACATGATGGTCATGATTAGCGCAGAAGCATTCACACCAATGCAGGTTCCGCTTTTTCTTACATTTTCGCACAAATAGGGAACATGAGATCTGCATCATATTAAAGCAAATGGGCAGCCATCTATGAGCCGAAAACCTGAGCATCTCAAATGGCTCAAGAAACATCATGACCTCATCAATGTATGCTGTCATTGCAGAGATTCGATATCTTTGGAGTTCAATCTGTATCGCAAATGCCAAATATAACGACGATGATCCTTCGGACGATCGTTGCTGCGTCTTTCGTTATATCATAAATATAGATAATACACGCTTGGCAGCCCTTGTAGACATGTTGATATTGGATGATAGAAAGGCAGTTTTTTGATGTAAGGGGGGCCTTTTGAAATTTTCTGACACGCATACACCAGCCGCAATGTTTCCAACGATCGGAACTTCTACTGAATAACCATCCACAAATCACGGCGGCATAAAAACTGCCTGTTGCTCTTGGCGCATCTTCCAGATGTGTGTATTCTTATGCTCCGTTACATCACGAAGGGACTGAATGCACATATTTGAACAGAAATACTGGTACTCTGTCGCCTCCCGCCTTCATGTGCTCCCGTTTGGCAAGTGGAATCAACACAAACCGTAGCCACAGCCGGTACTGTGGATGATAATGGCAGGTATCCAAGTTAAGGCGTGTGGAAGGTACCAACAGTTGGGCGCTCAGGTTGAAGTACATATCGAAAGCTTCCATCCACATCTTGACAGCATCGAGTCGCATGGTTGGCGTAGCGCAGCCGTTCAGGCCGTGGCCAACGGATCCAAGCGCCGACTCCACCAATTCCTGCAGGGACCCCAAGCCTTCGAGCACCGCAGCGAGCATTCTACATCCGTATGCGCTTGCCATCCTTCGAGGCACAGAGCCTGCGCACGACAAATGGCGAATGCATTTAGGATCAGCACACTGTTTCGACTCTTCGCGTTTTCAGTGCACCACAGTCATATCAAGAGGCGATTTGATGAGTCGATTTGCAGCATCGCTTTGCAACTGGTTTGGCGGAACCCCGCCAAACCTGTACCAGATTATAACTAGCTCTCCGCGACAACGACAGGAAATTATCAGAAAACTACGAGAGAATGAGGCTCTGTTTTATGTTCTTGAATGGTGGCTTTGAAACACATTATATTCAAAAACTACACTATCTAGCAGAGCTCCTAATGTGTACCAACTATTTCGCCACTATAATTCTGCGTTGTGACGCATTGCGCTGAACACGTGAGCGGCATTTGGGACCTCCATGTTGTGAAACCAGTGCTCCGCGATATTTTGAGCATACTGGCGTCATATATGGGATTATCCTATGCTATCTGCGAAAGGATGACGTCCAATCCAGAAGTCAATGAATGCCCCCAGGCAAGCTGGAACATTCAGACGCTTGTTATCTTCAAATAAGATGGGCACAGTAGCCCTCAAGAGGTAGCAAAATAAGGCCTGGGTCATCAGTGGGAGCAGTGCAAAGCTGTATCAAATCGTTTCGATACCCGTCACATCCCGCACTGCGCTTCTCAAGGCCTTCCATTTTGGCACGCTCGACATCAATCGCAGCAACGCGGCGTGGCAGTGAGGCAGCACGTCCTCCCGATTGCTGCAGCGGCATGTTTCTTCCATAAGCTTGCCTGCGGCACAATGGCACCAACTTCAATGACAGTATCGTCCAGACTAATCAACATACAACACATGTGACTTCAGCAGAGAAGAAAGGCCTCGCTTGGGAGGAGTTTAGAAAAAAAGCTCGCGATTCTCCGTTTCGATTGTTCTACACCTTGAAACAGATTTGGGAACCATGAATTGCTGGCAGGAGCATGAAAACACAACAGGCACCAATGTCAGGCAAGTTTTGTGGTTCATTTGAGAAATCCGAACATCCAGACTCGTCTACTTCTATTCTGCTTCTCCATATTTGTTTTTAGTCATAGGAGAGCGAGCCGTTTTCCTCGAAGAGCCTCAAATCGAATCCAAATTAACCCATTTTTACGCTTTCGTTAGTTCACATTGTGTATGAATTCAGTGCATTAGACAATTTCGCAGATTCTTCTACAAACAGGGTTGAATATGCCACAACTCAGGCCTTGTTATTGAGTTTACCTTTATGTTTTACCTATATTTTTTACGCGCAAAACGTAACTTTGCAGAAGGGGCCATTTTCACTGCTGTATTTACGTTTTCACTGCTTGTTGTGGCACCCAAGTTAGGCGATGAAAATCGCGTGCAATGATCAGTTCTGCCGCCCCTCAAGCACCCACAACACAGCGGACACTTTCCCTCAGCAAGGGCAATTATGAGGTGGAACAAAAGATCGCTTCTGACCGTTCCAGAGCGGCTGGCTGCCACTCCTCGGACCCCCTAAGTCTGTACGTACTAACCTTATGTACACGGGGCTGTATTTATGTTCCATTTACGTAATTTTACACGACTTTACGCGTAAAAACGTAATACGACCAGTTTTTGCGGCGTAAAAACAGGCCTGCTACAATTGGAGCCCAATTGACTCCTTGATGATGGTATCCCAATTCTCCATAATTTCATGGTGAACAGCGGGGCAATCGCGCGCTTCTTACGGCCAAGGATACGCGACGTCCCCATTGTGCAATCTCTGAAGTTTATGTATGTGTTAACTAGCAAAAAAACGTCCAAATAACCCTTTTTTTGCGAGCACATATGAAATTGCATTTATCAACTATCTGCACGCTAAAAACACAAAAATAACCCAAACCCGTAAACTTTGTGCACGTTTGCACACACGTTATTTGGGACCTTTGTCCTAGTGGTTGTAACAGGTTTAGGTTAGTCTGCGTCCAATGATAGGCACGTATTCGCTCCTCACGGAGCATGTCCATCGGTTTTTCAGAAATATGCTTTGGCGTAACTCTGAATCCCAGAGCCCAGCAGTAACCTTTCAGTTTGCTGCAGAGTAACGCAGCAGTATATGTGGATCCATGTATCAGAGATGCACTGTCTTCGCGTGAGTAGATGTGTACGTGGGCAATTTGTGTCCATGTCACCTGGCGGTGAAGTACAAACAGGCACTTTCTTATTAAGGGACGACATTTCAACCTACAGTCATGCGGATCGAGCTCATACAAAGGAGGGAGATTTCCGTCCAGATGACGTGCCTCAGCTCGGTCCACAAGGTTGTGAAGAAACCCGAGCATACTCTTGTAAAAGCGGATCCTTTAAACAAGACATCAATGTCTCGCCAAGATGGGTTGCAGTTTGGATCTCGACCTAATATTCCACACAAACCGACAGTCATGAAATTTCTCCCGGTTGTGGGCGCGAAGAGCACTATAGCGACTTCAAATTTCAACAGGTCAGTCTTCAAGTTTGACCACCAGCATGCCAAATTGGAGTGATGTATTATGCGTTGCAAATTGTATTAACAATGTGAAGTGATCACACCGGGATGCGATGTGTTGCTAATGCAGCGCGCCTATGGCTAGCAACCAAGCTTCAACAAAATACCATGGATTTGCGTCCAACGCGCGCATCATTTCCATTTTTAAGTATCTGTTTTTCTCAACAACTGATATTACTCCAAATTTGTTAAGATCAAGGCAATCCGCATAGCCTGATCTGTGGAGAGTTCTAATGCCAAGCACGTGCGCAGATAACTCTGAAGGAAAACAATTCAACAGCAAGAACGTAGCGCTCTGGAAATTCCATCCATTCTGAATCGCAGACGCAAAAAAGTGATCTGTTGCACAACAAAACACCCCGCAGCTGATTAATTTAACATGCGCAGATGTCTTTTTGCTGCTGTGAGAAAGGGACTGCCGAGAAGGGCGATGTGAACAGCATGACTTTGCTCCAAAGTCCACCGTGCGCTTGCCGTACCTTTGAGAGCGAAATCGGAAGCATGCGTGATCCTCATTTTCAATTTCACCACGTTGAGGAAACGGGACGCCTCCGGCCGCAATTTGTAGCAATGTTGCTCGTCATCGTATAGAATCAGTGGTGGCCTGCAAAATCAGAAGGTACATTTCAGACATACGTCACTGGCATTCATCACACTTTCTGAAAAGAGATCATGCACACAACTACGCTAGGTGTGGACAACGGCGTGCTACTTAAAATGACCTAAACAATACCATGACTTCTTGGCTTATAATTGCAGATGTAAACCGGGTCTAAAAATTGGCCATTTCGTGGTTTGATGCCGCGTGATTTTGTGCCCTGTACACATGTTCCAGGACGCATATTCAGTCAGGTCAAGCATGCCATTTTTGACGCGAATGACATCTGATCGTTGCAGTTTCAAGCAGCTCAAAGATATCTGTATTCGCTACATGTTGTGATGCATTGCCTATTATATTTCATCCCTGCATACTATAGATTACCATATAAACCAATGATTGTGCGGAACCGGAGCTAGCCAACCATTGCGATTAACGTTTTGCTGCTGCGCCCACGTGCGTAGTTTGGTCGCCGATCCATTAATTCTGACATCCTGACTGAAAAGCTGTGCCACCCGGGGGTTGGCACTCGTCCTCGCAACCTGAACTGATCGAATCTTTCTCGAAACAGCGCAAAACTACAGGAATGGATTCTGGCCACAGAACTGAGATACGGTTTGCTTGGTTAAAGCTTTTTGTCCGCGGCAGCCTTTGATTTGGCATTCATGTGCCACCATTCAAGTGGGCGTTTATGCTGTGGACATCAATGCATGCTCTTGCCAAATTCCAACCTGCTGGCGCACTGAGATCAATGTTCCCCTCGCGTATGGGAAAACGCGGGAGAGAGAGCGCCCAAGGCCGATCCTCTGAAAACAACCTTCGAGGGCAATTTGCCAAAGGCAGTCTGGGACCCTGCCTGCCTTTCGGCTGGCACCACGGTGTCCAAGGTGTTGGAGACCACCTCTCCTTCCTTTGCGGTCAAACGGCCCGGCCTCTGCTCCCACACAGGCCTCCCCACAAATCGCAGAATCAACACCCAGGCAATTCACATGCCGCCCGCCCGGGGTTGACTAAATTGACCTCCAGGCTGTCAGCCCCCGGGACTTGGGGACCGCCGCCGTCCCCCTCCGTCCGAACCCCACCCCCCCCCCCACCCCACCTCACCCCGCCAACGGCTCTCCTCACCACCCCTGCTTCCCTGCTCACCGTCCGTCCCTTCTCCCACTGGTGGATGCCCTCCGTTGCTGCCGCTCGTCCGCGACGCGGTCCACCGGGCCCTCCTCCTCCTGGTGGACCACCCCAAGGGGCGGCAGCTCCCGGGGAAGCGCCTGGGCCTCCTGGCTCCCTCCGGCCGCCTCCTGCCCCCCTCGGCTGCGGTCTTCGGTGGCCGCCTTCCGGTTCTTCGGCTGGGCGGCGGCCCTGCTGCGCCGCGGCTCCTGCCTGCCCATGCTTCGCGCCGCCACGGCTCAGCGGTCATGGGAGCCGCGGGAGAGTCGGTCCCCCGGGCCTGGCCGCAGGGATCCTGGGGTGTGTTACGCTTGGGGATCGGCAGAGGCGGCGGGGGGGATGTGTGACATGGACGGGGGGCATTGGGCGCGGATGACGGGCGACCGGGATGGGGCTCGACGCCCCGCCGGCCTTGTCTTCGGGGTGTTTTTTGGCCGGCTGGCGGGCGAAGAATGGCCAGGTCTGGGCCGCTTGCAACCGCAATCTCTGACTGTCCGCACGCTGCAGCGGCTACAGTGTAATTTGTGGCGGTGGTGCTGGATCGAATGGATTATTTGATGGAAGCCTTGCAGTTTTCATCATCATTATCATCATCATCATCATCATCATCATCATCATCATCATCATCATTTTTTGCAGAACAAGGCAATGAGGTATCCGTCAGCTTCCTGTACGACTTGCAATTTTCACTGCGATTCCAGAAGCCTGCATCGTATTCCAAGTCCTCCCTTCCCACCCACCCCCCTCCCTACTCCCCCGCCGGAATGCCGCAATTCTTTTCTTTGACACTGAGCATTGGCTTAAATGAATGTCAAACAGACAGAAACATCGAGGCATTGCATCGCCTAGCACTTTCTGGCGATGCGGCACAAGGCCCACATCTCTTCCACAATGCTGGGCACGGCACCCACTGCCGGCCCTCGTCCACAATGACTGTGGAGGAGCACGCTGGCCGCTGTCGTCTTCTGCGGCAAGCACTCCATTGGGTTGAGTTCCCAGCGCGCGTCCCTTGTGGTAGACGCATGGAGATCTTTTTCGTTCTACGCAATGTGTGGCAGATGTTCCAAAGGCAAGAGTCAGACTGAATTCCATGGTGGTGCACTGGGCATTGGATGGCCATGGAAAATATGGATGGCACGCACGGGTCGTCCCCGGCCGCGTGGTTGTCCATGGCATTGGCTGCGGCCATATCCTTAAGAAGATGCAGAGCTGGGCATTGGTGCGTTCTCGGAGGGTTGTAAGCAATCAACGCAATTCGCGTTGCCCATCCGCAGCTGCGAGGCAGCTATCGACGCTGATCGACATGATGCAGGCTTGGTTTCACGTTTACGTTGCGTTTACATTTTTACGCGTGACAACGCAAACACAGAGAATGGACCATTTTTGCGGCTGAATTTGTGTGCCTTGCGGCTCTTTGAGACACTTGGATTACATGATGGAGTCCTGTACAATATTCAGTCCCCACCCCTTTTTCGCGCCGGCAACACT